ACCTACTCCATCTTTCCCTTGGTTTCCACCAAAAGGCTCAAAACAGTTTTCTATCTACAGGCTTTCACAAATCACAGAAGATTTCTCATGTACCTCAGCAGATTCTGCCATCAAAGTGTAAAATGTGCCTGCAGTTCTTCAGCTTCTTCAGCAGACATTTCACATTACATCCACGACTGTCCACTCACTTCTCCCATCAGAGCCTTCCTTCCTCATCTCCAGGGATCACATAGCCTCAAAGACCTTCTTCAGGATTTACTATGGACTGCGGAACTTCAGAACTATCAAAGATTATGTCTATTCTAAGAGAAACATAATTATAGCAGATAACCAGGTCTAGGCACCTGACAAAATGTAAAGGCAGCAAGCCTCTACTCATGTATATATCTCTAAACAACTAGCCCTTTTTGCTAATTTTAAACTAGCATTCCCAAAAAATTGTAAGTTGGAGCTCCCAACAAAAGTAATAACTAATATTAAATATATTTATCAGTAAAAAGGTCGGAAAAGATAAACAACCAAAAAAAGGTTGCTGGTGCAACTATCAGAATAACATGACAGGCCTGCCCATTGAGAGGTGAAGCAGGCAGAATAATAATAAATAAATAATTATTTTGTTATCTGTGTATGAGCTATACACATATTTAGTTTCATCAAAAACTGAGATTTAGCGGGGCATTTGTGTGAATGAATTTATGATTAAAAATGATTCTGTTTTGTGTATCATTTAATTTTTCAGCTAAGATAATACACTGAATTTGGAATCAACTGTGTATGTATTTGGTGCATCTGTAGACACATTAGGTATTTTCGAAGCAGGACAGATGAGAAATGAGCAATGCCCTCACCGTTACTCGAATCTCGGACATCTTGAATTCGCGTCAAGCGTGCTGACCACTACATCACAAAGGCATTCTAAGAAGGCAGGATAAATACCTTATATACGTCCTCTTTTAAAAAGCGACTGGGTTTTAGGGGCCCCAGTTGCCAAATCCTGATGGTGAAGAATCATGATTCATCACCTTTTAGTTCGGGCGCCACTGTTAGGGTCGTTAGGATTTTTTTGAAACAGGAGATTTGGAAAATGAGCGACGCCTTCACCTGGACTCAAATAACGACCCTCTCGAATAGGCGCCGAGCATGCTGATCACTACACCACGAAGGCATGCTAAGAAGGCCGGAGAACTCCCTTATACATCAAAATTTAGTTCTTTGTTTTTGTATCTTCAAATTTTTGCCAAGTTTTTCTCGAAGGTTAGTACTTGCAACACAAGCAAGTTAACTGTTCTTTCTTTATTAGCAACTGGCTATTATTTTGAATTTTCAAAAGTAATATTAGTTTTAACTTTTGAATGAACAGTTTGCAAATAAATTTATGATCATTCTTTGAATATTGACTCATTAAAATGATAGAAAAATATACATGTGCATATAGATTATTAATTATTCTCTTAAAATGTTTTAAAATATTGATTTTATTTAGTATTAAAGGCAAAAATATAGAGGGTGTTTACACATTTTAGAACATTTTCAGGGCCTTTTAATTAATATTTAGAATATAAAGAGTATTTTTTAATGTTCAATCTGATACCCTATTTTGTGGACTATAAGTCCGCTTAGTGATTTCCATGATAGAAGGGCTTTTCACAAAATTTCTAGGAGTAGTGTTTTACAGGACTTAAAAGAGAAGGGCTAGCTCATAGAGCTTTTCCCCCTGAAGCAGAAAGTGAGAAGTGATGACGTAGCCATGATGACACTGAGCGCGACAATATAATTCACAGCTTGGAAGTTAGCGTTTTTGAACCAGCGTTTAAAATGAGCTGTATGTGAAAGATAGCTATAATTTGGAAGAGGCAATGTTACTGCTTTATTCATTTTAGACTGAACCATTAAAAAATTTAATAATGCTTACTCAATTTTAAAATAATAGATAAAATGTGCTACTCTTTTAACATAAAGTTCCGTGGGTTTTTTTTTTTATTTTTATTTGAAGGTTTTTTTTATTTAATGCACGTTTATTTCTAATCATTTCTTTACTTGCATGCTAACTGAGAGAATTTTTATACTGCTTCTAAGATAACTATAATAGCAGTTATTTAAATTTACTCAAAAACCAACTTTACATTGACATAGGTTTAAACATATATGACATATATGGCAACATTTCTGCTAACCTACGTTTGATTTTTTGCCTAATTGTAAATTTTACATTGTTATAATTCTCTTCCGATTCAATATAATAGATATTTTTTAAATAATTTTGGAATTTATACTTATATTACAATTAAATAAATGTATATAAGATTGTTACCTTAATTTTGACAAAATAGCTTTATTCAGAGTACCTAAAACAGTTATTTAATTTTTCAAAAGTGTGAGTAAAGGAAGCAGGTCTTTTTATGCCAATTACTTTGATGTTTTATACTATTATATTTTATCTGGAATGCTAATCTAGCACAAAATCTAATCAATAATTAGTTACAAAGGATACAATAAGAATAACTTTAACAACTACTTAACAAAATTAGTTTGTTAAATACTTGTTATTTTTGTTGGTACTATTTTGGTACTATTCATAATACCGAAGATATTATCGATTAATTCATAGAAGTCAGATGCTTTCTGATTTCCTGTGGGGTAGAGCGGTTTTGCGGTACTTTTTGAAAATAATGTTTTCTCTGGAGCGACTTTTTGTCTCTCGTTTCCCTTGACCATTAAATAATTTGGTTTTAGTTTGTGACACAATTTGATTTCTTCACAATCTCTATTTAAAAACCTCTTTATAATATCAAAATTTAAAACAGTTACATCTTCTAAAACAAATCCTCTATCTAATCGCGGTTTCTCAGTAATTTGAGGCAGAGTGCGAAATGAGACCTCTGATTAAAACAAACTGCACATTTTGAAAAAGAACCAACTTAGTCCAGTTTAGAGTAATAGCAGAGTTTTTCAATCTATATGCATTTCGTCGAAACTGAGAACGCATATTTTTTCTACAGAATACAACTATTCGCCTCTTTCCTTCTCTAGAGTAAGAACATTACTTTGAATTCTTGGACTACACTAAAATTTAGAAAACACTAAAAAATAAAATAAACACCATTTCTTTAATTTGATAATACTAGGTAAAGATATTCCAATTTTTTTCTCAATTTTTTTTCTTTCCAAAAGTCATAGCTTTAAGATGGCAGAGCTCTTATGACAATGCAGTGAAATATTTTCACTAGTCCACCTGATTTTTTTCTTCTTTTTCAGTAATGCATTAATCTGCATCTTTATAAAAATAGGCTTTAGACATTTTTCCAAATTCTCCGATTTGTGCTCCCCCCCCCAAATTTCGCTAATTGAGATTTTAATTTCTGATACCAATTTCTGTCTAGATGTCGTCCACCTTCTTTGTCGCTGAACAAACATTCTAAAATTTTTCTTTTCTCTATTTTTCAATACTTTAATACAATTTAATACAATTCTCTAAGGATATTATTTTGTTCTTCAAATTATCAATGCATTCTTGTTTATCCTTATACATTTAGGATGATCTACATTTTCATTTGTGAGTTTTATTTTAAAATCATTAAAATTTGATTTATTATTGTCATCATCAATTTCGATTTATTATTGTCATCATAATTTACTTTCGGCACAGCATTCCATTTCAACAGTTTCTTTTTGTGGCTATCCAAACAAGCGATTTTTCATATCATCTTCATAAACACTGCATAGAAAATGTTCGCTGCAGATTTTCCGCTCTTCACATTAATAGAATCTTCTCTTTGACATTTGAGTATCAATTCTTTCGTCAAAAGCAACTCTCATTTGGATCCTTTGGTCCCATGAAATAAAATATCTCATCCTTTCATACTTCTGTAAGTGCTACGGCACGTTACTGCAGCGCAGAAAGCCATATTACGTAAACGGTACTTTACAATATAGAATTTAAAATAAAAACTGACTAAAATTACATATATATAAATTATTTTAAATATATACATTATTAGAAAACCAGATATATATATTATTAAAATTAATTTGGATATGTAACCCCTAGAAAATCGTCTCGCAGCTCAATGAAACTACTGTTTTAAACGCGGGAAATCAGGACAGGTGGCATCACAGTGACGTCAGATTATTGCCTGTACGTCCCCCCATTAGACTCGTGTCGGCAAGGAGTCGAACAAAGAAATGAGCTAGCCCTTCTATTTATCCCTGAGTGTTTTAGTCCATTCCCCTTCCACTACTTTTCAAAGTCCATCAATCATGGTGTGTACTTGGAAAAAGCTCTTTACAAGAGACCAAATGCACAATAATCCATAGGTGAAACATCAGAGGACTTTGCTGGTATACTTGAAAATGTATATGTGCAATACCTTTATTTTTTCAATAAATGCAGTGACACTTTTCGAAATGTGATTTGTTGCGTTGTTTTATGAAATTGCACTTTTTGAAAATCATTCGGATGAAGACATAGAATTTCTTCTGTAAATATCAGACATAAAACTTTCTCTTGATAGTACACCCAGTTGATTTTAACACTTCCTTCCCACCACGTTTCTTAATTTCCCATTGTAAAAGCATCATCCTGCAGCAGTTTAATTTTATGAACAGAGCATACTTTTTTGGAGTATTTGGTGTGTAGTCTTCTTTGCATATCGAAGTAAGGACGACAGTTTTTCCTTTTCTGATTAATAATATTCCTTATTTTGCACTCGGAAATTTTAAACATATCGCTCAATCCACGATATGTAGATCATGTCAATGTATATGTGACATTTTTAAAAAAGAATTAATTTAAAATTCAATGTATATGTGACATTTTAAAAAAAGAATTAATTTAAAAAGTAGCTAGTGACATTTTTCATTTCAAATAATAAGCTGTTGCCAGCAGTTTTTGTTCCAAAGCATTTTCTTCTTTTTAATTCTTTATCGAAATAGTTTTAAAATTTTTAAACACCCTTTGTATTTTCTCATATTTTTTAATTAATATTTCATTTATTTGTAAGGTGGTTGCTTTTAAATTCTACTGACCCAACTGGGGAACTTGAATGGCTTGTAACTGAATTACAAATGGCTGAAAATAAAGGAGAAAAGGTAAGAAAATTATTCAGTACAAAAAGATTCTCTTTTACGCTGATGTTATGTATATTTTTATATTATGCTAATAATAACAAAATCATAATTAATAATAAATATCAACTACAATAAAATCTCGAGTATCTGTAAAGCTTGAGAAATACCAGATATGTCAAAATTCTGTACAGTTGAGTGTATAAAAAATAGAAATAATGTTTGAAAAGCCATATGAATGGAAGAAGTTTCTGGTCTAAAATTACAAAAAGTCATCTTATTTGTTATGAACTTGAATATTAAAAGCCTATATTTAAAATATAATATATATATATATTTTTAGACATAAAAGCCGATGTATTTCATAGGCATAATATACAAGCAACTGAATTGCCATTGCCCTGAGGGGTTTTGAAATTAAAGGTTCTACACAACATAGGAAGAACTGTACCCCAAATACTTCCACATCATCTCGCACAAGCATGATGAAGATTCGTTTATAAAAGCGATGCTTATTTTTTGGCCACGTTGTGATACATTCATAACTTATGTCGCCAAACTATTCATAAAAATGGCCCTTTAAAGAGCCAGTTGAGTTGGTAGCAACTGGTTTGAAAAGCAGTTGCTAGCAGTTGTTTTGAAAAGTTGGTAGCAATTTAAATTTAATAGAAATAAAAGTTTAATAGGTTTTAATTAATTAATGGAATCATTTTCATGTATGTATTCTTAATTATTTGTACTTATTTTCATATTTCACAATAGCATTTTAGTGGCACCATCAAATAAATAAATAAAAGCAGCAAACTGCATGCTACATCATTACCAGAACATATTACAAATAAAATTATTTTAACTTTAGGGAAAAGTTCACATTGGAATTGTACTTACATAAAATATTATTATTTTAGCTGAGTTTTTTATTGTTCTTGTATGCACAGATGTTGTATGCTCTAAATTTGTTTGTAGCTTCATTAAATGCACAAAAGTAAAACAACATTTGCCACAATTGTGCATTCAAAAATAGTAGCATATATTTTTGCATTTGTTTTCTATCCTAAATGTGCTATCTTACTATTTTAGAAAACATTTCTTCCTTTAATTTATGATTTTTATGTTAAAAGGTGCATATCATTGGTCATATTCCTCCTGGGGAACCAGATTGTTTAGGAGTATGGAGTAGAAATTACTATGAGATTATTAACAGGTGAGCATTTAGATTTGTAATTGGTTAGAAATTCTGCTCATGGAAAAGTTATCATTGATTTTTGACATTTTAGCAACTTCATTACAAATTGGCCGAAAAAGCAAGCTTAGATTAGCTTAGATTTTGACTAAACTACCAAATTTGATGGTGATCAAAATAACTATATTTATTTGGTTGATCATTTGTCGAAGAAAACAGTGATGAAACATGAAAAGCTAAGATATTAGAACTTTGAAAGCTCTGGAAAGACTTGGACTGGAATTAATTTTATTAAATAAAGAAAGTAAAATTTTGTGCCTAAAAATTTTCAAGAAAACCTAATTTACCAAATGAAGAAGCTTTTTAGATAATGTTTGCAATCATAATCGAATCATAATTGATTTCTTAACCACAATTTTGACTTCTGTTCTATGAAAATTATCCAGAAACTTTTTTCAGTTGAGCTAGACTTTTTTTGAAGCCCTTTCACATTTTCAAAACTACTTCTATAGCCTTTCACTTCTATAGTTAATGACATTAATTAGTGTCCATTTTCTCCATCACTTTTGCTTTTTTTTTTTTTTTTTTAAAGTTTCACTGCTATTTTCCTTGACAGATGATACTTTATTTGTTTTAGCTCTGATCTACTCATCATTTGCATATAAGTACACTCAGAAAAAGAGGTACTTATGTCTGATTACCTTAAAATCAATGTAAGGTTACCCTTTTGACTGATTCTAAAATTTATATTGGTGAGTTCTGTTCCAGTTAAATATATTTTTCTTGGAAAAAGTTTCCTGTATCATAAATACTTTTGAAAATTTGTGTTGGTAAAATGGGCCAGAAAGTAATAATTTTTTTAATATGTTCATTAGGGCCATCCCAGATAAAATTCTTGCTGTAAAATTAAATTATAGTGATAAAAAAGCCAGAAAACTTTTTAAAAATTGTTCATGCTATCATCATGCTGTTATCATTACAGATCTATTTTATCATTGTCTTTAACATGTATTATCACTTCACTTGACTTATGTTATCAGTAACCTTGATTAATCCTGCTGGAGTCAAATCTGCAAGATAAATTTTAAGAGATATGTCTTTTGCGTTCCAGTTTCTGAAAATGTAATGACATCTTTGAAACTGGGATTAGTGGTTCTACCTAGATTGTTCCTGTATCATCAAGAAGATTCAGGTGGATTTTGCATCTTGCTTTTGTTTTAACTAAGAATATCAAAGCGAATATCTTCTCTACTCTGACCTTGCTAATTGTTTATTGAGAGTTTTAGCAAACTTGGTTTAAGTACCATATAATCAATTTGTGTGATTATGAATTGTGCAGATATTTTGAATATTAGACCTAATCACATTAAAAAAATATTTGCAGCAAATCTGAAAAAAGAACTGATGTAAAATTAGAATTTGAAGAACTGATTCTATGTAGCACACCTTTTATATGAAGATCCAAAATGCTGCTTATGGCATTGAATTTTCTTAGTTCAACCATTCAAAATGATATCATTGATAGCCAAAACTGTTTTTATTTTTGTATGTGAACAACAATGAATTGCTAGTGAAGTCCAAGTCAGGCTATTAGTTGTAGAAAGTAACCTACAGTGAAACCTCACTTCACAAATTTAATTAATTTCTGTAGGCTATTTATCAACTGAAATGTTTGTAAATTGAAACCATTTTCCCCATAGGAATTGATCTAAAAGGCTTTAATTTATCCCTGGATCAAATTATTTAAACTTTATAGCTGTAATTTGGGCACAAGTTTATAACCCCAAATCATAACCAAATATAAAAGGACATAAGCAGATGTGGAAATCGTTGAATATAATATAATATTTCCATATCACTGAAAAGGAACTTTATGAAAAGCAAGAACAAATCAGAAAGAGCAAAGCAATACCAATAAACTGATAGTGTTAAGCGGGCAATTTTTAATTTTTGTAAACATAATAATCATTGCTTACTCAGCAATGGCTTCATGGATCAACAATTAGACAAAACAAAACCGGAAACTTCCAGTGATGCAATTATAAACAAGAATGCAGATGGTTCTCAAAAATCCATCAAGTTGCCTTTTGACATGGAGAAAAACTGTGTTATTAACGACTACAGTAGCATATGTTTGTAATTCAAAAGGAAAGAGAATTCCACTTCGTGCTAATATTGATAGCAGCAGCATCTCCATGAATGCCAACTCTTACTTTCAAACATCGCTAGATACACCTGCAAAAGTAGCTAAAAAGTCACTAAATTTAGACGCAATTTCGCTAAAAGTAGTAGCTAAAATTTTTAAAAAGTACAATCCATATCCCATAATAGGTTTTGTTACTCATCATTTTTTAAACTGAATCTTCATAAAAATATAAATAATATCCCAATTTTTCTGTAGACCAGCAAAAAGTTCTTACCCATGGTTGTACCTAAAGATACAATATCATAGATAACAAAAAAGTCCCAAGTATCATAATGCTCAACAATACTGCCTGGAACCCATTCCGGTCATAATTTCTTCCAGGTAGAATCTGCAGTCCTGTAAGTTACTTGCTGCCAGGATTTGTTAATGAGAGTTAAGCAATAGAAAAGTCCCTATACTAAGTGTTAATAATAGGGTACAGTTTACTCAAAATGCCTTTGAAAGTCGTGTTGCCAACTTGAGTGTTCATAACTTGAGAGACCATTCATCATCTGAGGAATTATTTAAGATAAGTTTGTTTGGGAAGTGATACACCTTTGTGATCTGAGGTTCCACTATATGTAGCTAAGGAAAATTTTCAAGAAAGGAGTAGATACCTTTCTGTTATCCCCACAATGTAATTGCCAAATACAGAGAGTCGATTCTGAATACTGATTTAGTAACTATTTTTGCTACATAGGTAAAAACATTTTTTCTCAATGAGGTGGCAAGGTTTTGTATGTGCCATTTTAGATGTTAAAAAAAAATGTTTTTTTATGTAATTCATCAAAAATTTATTTTAGGAATCAAAATATTAAAATTTTTATGCAATTTTTGATTAATAATTGTAATAAAATATAAGACAAAGAACAAGATGGAATTATTCTTTGATGCCAATTAAACTGAAAAGGCAAACTGAAAAAGATTTCTTGAATTTGCTTAAAAGTAGCCAAACCACTCTGATGTGAAATAAAGCATCGACTAATTTAGTTTAACTTTTTTACATTTTGAGTAATTAATAAAAAGATAAATAATAAACTCAATAAATTCTCTTTTACTTAAAACTCCTGATGATTGAACATACAGTGATGCATTAGTGTGGTCTGTCTTTTTTTACTTGTATGAAGTAAAGGAAGTATTGTAATCGCAATCGCTGTTTTATATGAAATATGTGGCAAAGGTTTCTGCAGCCATGTTAATTTCTGGTGGTGAATAAAGTCATCTAAAAATAAATCTTCAAAAAAATGAGCATACGAAATAATTGCATTTAGGGATATGTAGTAAAAAAAAAAAAAAAAAAAAAAGACATGTTTATTAATGAAGAAATATGTGTTCTTATGTAGTTTTTTACCCCAATATTTATTATTTATAACATTTCATGCTATCGGATATTTATTTATATTTCTGTTCAATATAAAATGCAAGAAAAAATTACAGTTTCTGACATATTCCTTTCCATAAGGCATTAGCCCATAATATTTTTTGCTCTTCATTTATGTTGTTGTATTGGGTAAAATGCTGATACATGATTTCTGTATATATGTTGTAACAGTTTCTAAATTAAATCATGTTATGTGTATTTTAAGGTATGAAAGTACAGTTATGGCTCAGTTTTTTGGTCATACCCATAAAGATGAATTTGAAATATTCTATGACAAATCTGGTCCAAAACCAAGACCAACAAACATTATTTATATTGGGCCTAGTGTGACAACATATGATGGAGTTAATCCTGGTTATAGAATTTATACTGTGGATGGAAATTATCCTGGAAGTTCTAGAGTATGATCTTCTTTCATTCTTCTTCTTCTTCTTCTTCTTTTTTTTTTTTTTTTTCTATCGATATGTGTGTATTCAGATTTTCTTTCTAAAAATGTTAAATTGAACTTGTTTTTTGATAATTGTTAATGCTTAAAACAAGGAAAAAACTTTTGTGTAAAAAGTTTTTAATACTCATCAACCTTGTGACATTTTTTAACTGAAAATCACAGAATAAAACTTCATTAAAGTATTTCTATCATCTTGATTCAAAATGATATTGAGCTTTTGGGGTCTTGAGACATTCAAAAATACAAATTATGAAGCATGTCAATGATAAGTTATTGTCACTGAGCCATGCCGTTATGATGCAAGTAAGTAATGAGTTATAGTTATTATTATTATTCGATAAATTATCTTATCAAAGTGCAGTAGAAATCCAATAATGTATGAGTGCCTGTGATCCATGCTCATTTCTGGATATAAATAAAAAAATTCATCATGCAAATTTGCAAATTTACTTTATAATTGTGATAGAAGATACATAGATATAGAAAAAAAAGAACAGTAATATGATATAAAAAACAAGAATAAATCAGGTGTTGTGCACAGACATAACGTTTCCAAAATGTTATTTTTATTTATGAGTTCAAAACTGCAGTAAAACGGACACTTGACCATGAACAAGAAGGGCAGCCAAGTAAACGTAACATCAGTTTGTCCTTCCTGTAACATTATTCTTCGTGAGCTGTCTGAAAATGTTCACCATTTAATGCAAAGCATTTTTCTACTCCAGAATTATTCTTGTTGGAGTGTGACTAAATACAGTTCCCCTTCTTAGAGTATCCCATACATGCTCATGAGATAGATACTTTTCATTCTAACAAACTATTTCTGAACAGACACATTTCCATAATATTAAAGAAATGGCAACTTGGTCTCTGCCCTCTCCACATATTGCTGTGATGAGAATTGATTTTAAATTGAATTTTAAGTGAACACTTTATGTCATTCAGAATTTAGTTCTGTTTCCAACTCTAATGTAAAACATGCATATTTGTGTACAAAAGACAAAATTACTAGATGTACAAACTAGAATTACTAGATGTACTATATACAATCTATACTGCTTGTCATTTAAAACTCCAAAACTTCAGAATTGTAGCAATGACCAAATTCTTAATTTCTAAAATTAAAAGTACCAGAGCTCTAAGGAAGACCATCAGAAAAAGGGAAAAGATTAATAAGTAAAATAATAAAAATAATCAAATTGAAATTGAATGAAATGTAAAGAGAAAAATGAATATTTAATAAATTATTAAATTAGTGACAAATAGTTAATAATAGAACAAACCAAATTAAACTATTATTCATTATTATATACAAACAGAATTTTTTCACAATTGAAAATTAGGGAAACATCACAATTGACTAATGAGCTTCTGCAATCTGTGATGAAGATAATGTCTGGTAATTTCTCTCCAGTTCTTTTATCAGAATCGAAATGCATTGAAATCAATTTTTATCAGAATTGAAATGCCATAAAGTGTCAAGCTGTAGTAAAAGACGAAGAAGTTAATAATTATTTAGATATAAACATATGTGGTTTTATTCATTCATCGAAGAAAATTTTAATGAGAGGAATAGACTAAATTATCATTATTTATTCTCAAGTTTTGTCTCACTAGCTAAATTTTCTCTGAAAACTTGGAAAATTTTCATTAGTTTATTTTTAGTTTAAACTAAGTTATTTAATGATTAATTGTGCATGTTAGAATTATTTAAAAGAAATGTCAATCATAAGAATTAATATTTAGCTGTCAGCTTATTTGAATTGCAAATTGTAGCCAGCAAAAATGTCTCAATGTTTCACAGGTACGAAACGTTCAGATAGAAAATAACTATAAATATGAATTGTTTCCTCTGCAATATTATTATTTTTGTACATGTTTTGATAAATCTTTAATATGCAAAATTTTAAATTGATTGTAAAAAAATATACATAAATAAAAATCTTTATTCCATTGATAAAATTTTTCATTTTGTTAACAAAATGAAAAATTTTATCAATGGAATTAAGATTTTATATTCTGCCCAAATGGGTGTTTTCGCATTTGCAGACACATACATGTTTCAAGAGCATTTGGGCTAAAATTATTTAAAAACGGCATTTCTTTTCAATTTCGAATAGACAGCCTCACACACTGGATATAAAAATGTTTTATTCCCTACAGTGTTGCCACTGCTCACTTTGAAATTTTTTAATCGAAAATTCATTAAAGTTTCACAAAATATGAAATAGACAATAAAGCAAATTCAAAATTCGGTCTTCCAGGTGTCCATGCTCAGGTGGAGCACTATGTTATTTAAAATTAGATGACTCTATACTGCAGATCAACCTAACTTGAGAACACTGGATATAGTAGAGGGTGTATGCATCCGCCGTAGGATATAGTTCTACCATTTCGAGAAGTAATATTTTAAAAAATACGCTGTGGAATATGAATACTGTTGAATGAAGAGAACAGAAGGGAAAAAAATGTGTGAAAAAGTTGCATCCAGCATTTTGTTTAAAAATTTGCTAAATCATGTCAATCATTCAATGACCAGCAGGAAGACATCCCCCTTTTTTTGGCATTATTGGCGAAACTCCAAATTCCAGCAACCCCAACCACACTCTTCTCTTGATGAGAAAAGGAATTAAAGCATTCATTCACTGACCAGGAGGAGAAGAAAGCAATTGTTATGGTATCTGTTTCATCTTCAACATATGTGTATAATTTTCAACCTCATAAGCTGAAAAACCATTGTACAGTTCGGCTAAGATTATTGTAATGAATAGTTTTTGTCAAATTACAGAAGCATTTTTCTAATAATTCCAATAATGATAATGTTACTTGTTATAATAATCTTAGTGGGATTGAATACCTCAGTTAAAAAAAGGCCCTTTTAAGAGCCACAAATTAAAAATACTAAGGCCATTTTCAAGGACAAAAATTAAAAAAAAAAAAAAAAAAAGGTAAAACTATAAACAGTTATAAAAAGCATTATAAATACAAGCTAACAACCCTTAGAAAATATAATATGAAAGTGGCCCTCCAGTAGCCGAGTGCTTAAATCGCTGAATACTGATAGTTTGAGATTGTTTGAATCCAAGCAAACAAGTTGTATTCATGGCCAGTTTTCATTGTTTTGCCATGTGTAACATGAATATGATCTTATTTCTTTTAGAAAATCCCACACAAATGCATCTCACCCCTCAGTCAGATAGTTCTTCTGTGCTTTGCTTTATTCAAATCACCTAACCAATACGGAAGTACTGATCAATTAAGTTAATTATGGTAGAAGGAACAAGGGTTTCTGTCTAATGGAAGAGATGGCTTCATGGGGACTTTATAAGAGTAAAGGATTTCTTTTGTATAATACACTGAGGGACTCCCATGCAGTTCAGAGTTTACAGTTATTACAAACGAACTCGCTGCATACTACCAGTGTTTCGTGGCTTAAGCGACTCTCATTAATATGCTTGATTTGCTGATGATTCCGTCTAAGAAAGAAATAGCTAGAACTTTCCATATGATTTGCTTGTTATTTTTATATCTCGAAGGAAGTGTATGGTTTTTACATAACTTATACAGTCTTAAACAACAAAATATAATTCACGGATTCTCAGAGAGCTGAATCAACCAGCTTTTTATAAATTGAGAGATGTAAAAGCAATGTATTCCCCTGCTGCAAAGAAAAAGACTCACCTTTCATTCTCCGTCGCGCATAGACGTTTTATTCGTCAGAGCATAAAAACCTTAATTTATCTTTTCAATACAAATAAACAATTGTTAATTAATATGGTAAATGTCTTAAAAGCAATAAATGCATTTCTTAAGAATTAAATTGTTTTATACTTTTTTAGTTCTTATGACATTTGCGCTTTGTTGTAACTAATATAAGACATTTCTAATGTTATAAATATTTTAATTGATTGGTATAAACCTGGTATAAGATCATTTGTTTCTTAACTTTTATGTTTGTTTCACAATTTTAAAGTTTTAATATTTTTCTATTGCCTTGAAATTTTTAATGATAAACTCTTTAGTTGTTACACTGCAATCTGAAGATCTCAGTTTCCAGTCTTTTTATTTATTTTATTTTTTATTTTAAACAATAATCAGAAAGATAGGATAAAACTTATTGTAGGAAGATGATTATCTGGGCCTGACTGAAAGTACGAGGGCTATCCAGAAAGTAGATTACGTTTTGGAATAAAAAAATAAACAAAGTATAAGAAACAAATTTTATTATATACAGATGAAAGCCACACTCAAATACTACTTTTCTACATAGTCACCATACAAATTAAGGCATTTATCGTAGCGATGTACGAGCTTGGAAATTCCTTCGTCGAAAAATTCGGCCGCCTGCGCCTTCAACCACTTCGTTACCTCTTCTTGCAGCTGTGCGTCGTCATCAAAACGCTGCATAGCCAGCCACTTCTTCATTGCTGGGAATAGGTGGAAGTCGCTCGGTGCCAGGTCGGGACTGTACGGCGGATGAGGAAACAACTCCCACTTAAAAGATTCAAGAACTTTACGAGTGACATTTGCCGTGTGGGGCCGGGCGTTGTCGTGAATCAACAAGATCTTAGAGCTCAACATTCCTCTGCGCTTGTTTTGAATTGCTCTTCTGAGTTTTTGGAGAGTTTGGCAATACCTTTGAGAGTTTATTGTAGTGCCTCTTTCCAGGAAGTCCACCAAAATTACACCTTTTCTGTCCCAAAAAACAGTCGCCATCATCTTCCTTGCCGACATTGTTTGCATGCATTTCTTGGGTTTTTGGGGAGAACTTGTGTGCCCCCACTGCATTGATTGCAATTTCGTTTCACAGTTCACATGTTTCACCCATGTTTCGTCACCAGTAACGATGCGATCGAGTAAAGAGTCACCATCCTTATGGTAAGCGTCCAAAAAGTTCAACGCTGCAGCCATTCGCTGATTTTTGTGGTCCTCTGTCAAGATTTTTGGAAAACT